GTGCATGCAAGAGAGGAAACTTTGAACTGGCCTGTTGGCTTTTTACACCATTGGGATCTGAAGGGCGGTCACCATCTATCCCCTGCCGTCGGACGGTGTGAAGGGCGTGACGTGAGTCCGACGGGGCCATGAAAGCTGTTCCAGACCCAACTACTTGGAACAGCTTCTCCTTCTACCTGCTGGTCTCCTACCTGCTGGTGTGTTGGGTTTGGCTCCTTCTGCTTTTCTCTCCTTGCTGGTCTCCATGTCACACCGAAACCTCGGGTTCCCTGCCCTTCTCGGGCTGAGGTTATTGAGCCTCCCGGAACCGGAGGAGTCGGAGGACTCTGGCCGGCCACCAAGCCCCTTGGAGCGGTCGTTGGTGGAGCCCGCGGTGGACAGCGGTCTGATGGAGTCGATCCATCCATGCCGCCCTTCAGATGCCTAGGGAGTTCTTCGGGGTTGTTAGTGTTACATAGTGTTACTCACTCTACGTTCGTCCAGTCTGACCCAAAACCTGGTCGACTTGACCTCCTTAAGTATCGGTTTGGTATGACCATCTCCAAGATGAGGTCTTGGACTTGTAGGGTCAAGTTATGTTGATCGTCTATTTGTTTAATCTTAAGAAGTTGGATGATTAGGCATTTGCTTTGTGGGAAATGAGCATCCCACAGTCAATATTCCTCAAGTTGGCCGACGCTCAGTGAACCATCAGAGTCATTTGTCCCATTGGGTTACTTGAACAAGCTTGAACATACCGAATATAGGTCTAATGGTCTATATTACTCCAGGCTTTTTTGTTCGAGTTATGTATATGTATATGTATATACTGTATATATATATATAGAGTTATATATATAGAGAGAGAGGTGTCACCCATAAATGCCAAAACACATCCAAAAACTGCCCCTCTTGGGATTTGAGCGACCGATCAAAAATCAGAGCAAAAGGTCACACAGATCGGCTTCAGCCTGCATGACCTGGCAGGACAAACGTGAAACCATTAGTCCATGCTTCATAGGCTCCCGCAAATAGATCCCAGACATTCCATGCATGGAATGTATGCATCCATTGACCCTTGAAACCACCCCAATGTAGGCAAGTATTGCATAAATATGCATACATTGAGTGTTTCAGATTAGAAAACGTGGTCCAACATATGTTGTCATATGATTCGCTTCGAAATAAGTCCTATCTATATCACGAAAGCCGGCCGATAGGCTGGCCTTGAGGTAGATGGAGCGAACGAAGTGAGTAAAGGGGGTGTGGGGGGGTGGTTGCGTGGTGGCTACTTTCCGGAGAGGTAAACCCAGAGCCTGGTGGGGAAGATCGAAAAAAAGAGGCGGGCCACTTGGTAGTGAAAAATGAGTGGTTTGAGGGGTGTTGTGATGCCGGTGGTGTAATTGACGGCCAGTAGTGCATCATCAGCATCAGCATCATGAGGGGCTCAGGAGGCCATGTAAAGTGTTTTTTACTAGGGGTGGGAGTTCACGTCGATGAGGGGAAAGGGAAGACAAGGGGACGTGAAGAGCGGTTCACCGTATACTTGAGAGCAGGAAAGAGAACTGATTGCAGTTGCGGGCGAGCGTTGGAGGCGGAAGGCTTTGAGTTGCTTAGGGGTGCCATATATTATCCATGGCAAGGTCTAGTTGGTGGACTCAAAAGGGCACCCCCTATGGGGAGTATCTAATCACGAAAGCCAGCCGTCAACTCACTTGAAACATTGACCAGCACACCATATCAAACCTTCCCGGACTACAGGCATGCCCGTTTTCACCTCCACAGCGCCCCGAGTCAAGACGATAAAGGGCACCCCGTCCCAAACCTATGTATCCTACTATCTATTTCCACTCTTTCTCGAATGACGGCCATATCCACTTCACCACTTCCGGCTCCTCTTTGTCCACTCTACCTATATACATATGTATCCTCACGAAAGCCTGCAGATAGCCTCGCCCATAGGCTTCCCACAACCATCTTTGCTCACTGATTAGCAACACGCGTCAAGCAAACTGTCATATAATATATTTGGGGGGGTGCCGGGTGCCCTTTTTCATCTCCAAAACCCTCTTGGACCAGGACAAAAAAGGACACCCCCCCTTTTGATTCTACCTTCTGTTTCTACCTCCTATCGGGCGCCTGCGATCCCAACTTCACCCCATAAAAGTACTCTTTGCCCGATGTTAGCCAATCACTTCATCTTGCAGGCTCAAGTGGCTCCAATATCAACTTCACCACTTCCGGCTACTCTTTGTCCACTCTACCTATATACGCATGTGTATCATCACCATGGCCTGCCCATAGCCTCGCTCACTGATTCGCAACACGCCGCAGGCAAGCGCCCCTCACTTCCTTCCAGGTCAGGTGCCCTTTTTCACCTCCAACACGCCCCTGAACAGAGACGAAAAAGGGCACCTATGTCACCTATGTATCCTGTTTCTACCCCCCATCGAGGTGGCTGCGATGTCAACTTCACCCCCCATGCAAGTATTCTTTGCGTATTCTTTGCCTGATGTTAACCAATCACTCCATCTTGCACGCCAAGTCTTTGGCCAAGCTTGCCCTGAGGGCACCCCCTAACCCAGAGGCTGGCTTTCGTCCCCTCCCTTCTCAGGTATGCAACAGGGTTTTCTGAAACCTTTAGATGTGCCATAAAGCTGTGGAGGTGCTGAGATGTGCCATAGGGCTGTGGAGGTGCTGAGATGTGCCATAGGGCTGTCAAGGTGCTGAGAGAGATCAGCCAGCTTCCCAAAAATCGTTTGAGCCCTGAACCATCCGCTAGCATGTTGGGGGCGTGTGGCCATGGCGCACATGTGGAGAAGACTGGTGGAACCTGGTTCAAGCGCATTCAACACGAAGCTCCGAGGGCCCCTCCAGGCCAAAATCTCGCAGAAGCAACCTTCGCAAGCGCACCTGCCTTCGTCTAAAGGTGTAGTTGTCTAAACGAAAGGGGGCCATGTCATGTGAGTTTGGGGCTAGAAACTGGTAGGAGCCGGGAACACCCTAACACGGGTCGGTGTCATGCTTCACTGGGCCAGAATGTAGATTTTTTGAACATTGCAAAACTTACAAGTGTTCCGTGCTGTTCAATTTGCATGGTGTGGCGAATGGTGAGATGTTTGCCCTCCTGAAAGAGCTGGACCTGGAAGCAGGAAATGCATCCCATCATTGAACCCAATCGTAGGGATTGCAATGGTCTAAATCCGGATGTTCTTTCGTGCAGATGGACGCTGAAAACCCACCCCTATGGTTTCCAAGAGCCAGTGTCCAAAAAGAAGCCTCCCAAGCATACCCCTGATTCGGAACGTTCGCTTCTCGACACCTCTTGGAACAGCACGTCCTTTTCTCCACGCCCGGCGGGAGCGGCACTTCGACCGAGGCCAAGGGTCCGAGGGTGAGGAGCTCCAAGTCCGGCTGAAGACGCGTGGAGGGAGACGCCGACGGCGCCGGGGGTCGTTCGAGTTTTGGGATTTTTGATGTGTTTTTCCCGAATGCGTAGCGAAGGGTTCTCGTTTAACTCTGGGGGTCTGGGGGTAGAGTCTTGTTCGCGATCCGTTGCTTCTATGTTCGCAACCGTCCGCAACCGTCCGCAACCGTCCGCAACCGTCCGCAACCGTCCGCAACCGTTCGCAACCGTTCGCAACCGTTCGCAGTAGGACGCTAAGGCGCTGCCATTGGGGGAAGCTTTTGCAAGTGACTTTTCATGGATGTGTCACGTGTCAGTTTGCGACGCTATTCCATTGTGATTTGCATGAAAATGACATGTCGCGCAAGAAGCGTGATGCATTTCGCTGCACAGGCGCAGCGTTTTGTGAGATCCTCAGTTTGCTACGCAGTTCCATTGGGATTAGCGTTTGGAGAGTCGTGTTTTTGGGGTGTTGGATGTGGCCGTGCCATTGGGATTTGCGTTTCAGGGTGTGGCATCGAAGCTCTGTTTTCGTGACCAGTCTCAGCTGAAATGGCGATTTTGGTGGATGGGAGTGTGCTCAGAACGGGTCGAAATCATTCCAAACGTGTGGTGTGGTGTAAATTTTGTTGAAGCTGACATGAGATTATATTGCCACTTTTCGTGGCAGGCGCAGTACTTTGTGTGGGTTTTGAGGCGTGGAAGTGCGATTCTCGTGGCAGGCGCAGGGAATGGTGAGGTTGCGAGGTGTGACGGAGGTGACATTTCGTGGCAGGCGCAGTACTTTGTGCGCGTTAGACGTGTGGATGGGGAAAGATTCGTGGCAGGCGCAGGGAATCGTGAGGTTGTGAGTTGTGGTAGAGGTGAATGTCGCTGTCACATTGGGATTGGCGTGTGAGCGGATGTTGTTTGGAGGGGCTGGAATCGCGAAACTGCTTGGCAGGGCTGCGTGATGTGTGTGCTCCGATGGATGTTTCTGCTGGACTTTTGGAGGAAGTCTCGTGCAAAACGTTCGTTTTGCAGACTTTGACATGTGAGTTTTTGAGGAAGTCTCGTACGAAACGCTCGTTTTGGGGACTTGACATGTGACTTTTGGAGGAAGTCTCGTACGAAACGCTCGTTTTGGAGACTTGACGTACTTTTGGAGGAAGTCTCGTACGAAACGCTCGTTTTTGAGACTTGACGCGTGACTTTTGGAGGAAGTCTCGTACGAAACGCTCGTCTTGCAGCCTCGCAGCGTGACTTTGGAGGAAGTCTCGTACGAATAGTGCCCTACAGGAGTGTCCCACAAGAGTGTCCTACAAGAGTGTCCCACAAGAGTGTCCTACAAGAGTATCCCACAAGAGTTTCCTACAAGAGTGTCCCACAAGAGTGTCCCACAAGAGTCTCCTACAAGAGTGTCCCACAAGAGTGTCCCA